ACTCTTTCCTCTGTGTTCCCAGCCTCTATCTGAACACCTTCCAAATGTTATCTGTGGCTCTCCCTTTCACTAGACTGATAGATACCCTGGAAGGCAAAAACTCCACAGCTCCAGTGCCTGGGCTGGGGCTGGGCACACAGGAGGTAATAACAGGTTTTGTGTAAGGCAGGGAGCCAGCCCCCAGAATACAGAATACGGGCTGAGTGTGCCTCACCTGGGTTTATCATAGAGGCATGTCGTGGGCAATGGCTCACACAGTGTGGTCCCACTACTCACGTGCTGTGTCCCTGGGTAAATTAAATTAACCTCTCTCTCTGCCTCAGTTTCCCCATCTGTAAAATGGCACCAGTAGTAGCACTCGCCTTATGGGGCTGTTTGAGAATTTCCACAACACAGAAACTGGACTTGAAACAGTGCCTGGCAGGTAATAATGGCTCAAGCATTAGCTCATTATTAGGATTTTCATCAGGGAGACTTTGGAGGGTGTGGTGATTTGGGGAAGGTGATTTGGCAAGTGGGTTGACCCTCAGTTTCCCGCAAAGAAAAGTTCCCAGTACCACCTGCTGATTCGGCCACATTCTTGACAGTCTGTAGCTGGTTGGCTGAGCCATCCTGACTGATGCTGAAACCAGGTTATCTGTCATCATCACCATCATTATTATTATCATCATCTATCTATGGCAAAATGTACAGTCAAAGATACGTTCTGGGCTCCCCTGGTGGCAGAGTGGTTAAGAATCCGCCCGCCAACGCAGGGGGCACGGGTTTGAGCCCTGGTCCGGGAAGATCCCACATGCCGTGGAGCAACTAAGCCCGTGCACCACAACTACTGAGCCTGCACTCTAGAGCCCGCGAGCCACAACTACTGAAGCCCGCGTGCCACAACTACTGAAGCCCATGTGCCTAGAGCCCATGCTCCGCAACAAGAGAAGCCACCGCAGTGAGAAGCCCGCGCACAGCAACGAAGAGTAGCCCCCGCTCGCTGCAACTAGAGAAAGCCCGTGTGCAGCAACAAAGACCCAACTCAGCCAAAAATAAATAAATAAGTTAAATAAATTTATTAAAAAAAAAAGATACATTCTGAGGCAAGAAGGCAGAGAACAAGTGTTTGTGGGGCACCTACCACATGCCCTGCTGTGGGAGTGTTAACAGATACCTGTCACTGCACACTCCCACGTGAAAGAGGGTATGAGCCCGTGTGGAGGGTGTAGAAATGGAGGCTCAGTGGCAGGCGGGGGGTGGGGGTGGGGGTGGGGAGGGCTGGAACCTGAGCGGTCTGGAGCCAATGCCCTAAGAAAAGGAACACCGAGATCTCAGACTCCAAGTGAAGGGCGAGGCAGGGACATCCCCAGAGTCCCCACCAAGCCTCCAAAACCACACCCAGACATGGGGCATATACTAGAATGACTCCCCAGTTCTTCCAAACTTTGAAAAAGCTGTACAGGGCAGAGTTTAAGGGTTTTACTTTTTCTTGGAAGAAGTAATACATGCAAGTGATAAGAAAAATCATCAAGCTGCATAAAAAGGCAAACTGTGAGACTCTCTTTCTCACTCCCGACCCACAGCCCCCTGCCCAGAGGTACCTACCACCCCTACAGTCTGTGTCCTGACACGGACATACGAGTTTTTCCTCTAATCAAACAGCATAATGTACACATGCTTTCTCTCTTTTTTTTAAGTTAAATTTCTTATTTTTTTTTTGCCTATGTTGGGTCTTCGTGGCTGCACATGGGCTTCTCATTGCAGTGGCTTCTCTTGTTGTGGAACATGGGCTCTAGGCGCATGGGCTTCAGCAGTTGTGGCACGTGGGCTCAGCAGTTGCAGCACGCGGGCTCTAGGGCACACGGGCTTCGGTAGTTGTGGCTCACGGGCTCCGCAGTTGTGGCTCACGGGCTCTAGAGCGCAGGCTCAGTACTTGTGGCACACGGGCTTAGTTGCTCCGCGGCATGTGGGATCTTCCCGGACCAGGGATCGAACCCATGTCCCCTGCATTGGCAGGCGGATTCTTAACCACTGTGCCACTAGGGAAGTCCCTGTATACATGCTTTCAACCGTGCTTTGCTCACTCAGCAATCTATGTCTAAGCAGGTCCCACATTAGTTTATACAGAGTGGCCATGTGGCTTGTTTGTTTCCATGGCATAGAAATTAATTTCAAATGTCTTCTCCAGCTGCTGAACAAATCCACTGCAGAAGACCAGCTGGCAATCCAAATTTCCCAGGCTCACATCCGCCCCCTTCTCACACGCAAACTGCAGCTGTGATGCCTCCTGATAAAGAATCCTGCCAGGTGGGCAAAGCACCCTTCTCACTTGAAATCTCACACCTTTTCTGACCCACGTTTCAGAGCCATTTTCACCCTTCCCACCCCACCTTCAAGTCCCAGCAACCCACAGGTTAATGTAATGATGAACAGGCCCAAACTCGGGAGGTGTTTTTGAAGGTCAGTGCTGACTTAGGCCAGTCCAGGTTTTCTAGCTGCCTTCCTTGCTCCAAGCCTGCAAAGGGGGCCTGCCGCAAACTTCTGACTCTATGCAGATCAGAGGTGGGGGGATAGGGATGGGAAGGCCTCTTTCTGAAACCTGCGTGTGTTGTCCCAGGCTTGGACCTAGCAGCTGGATAAGTGCGGAGTCTGCTCAGCTGACCCATGCTGTGTGTCTCCTTCCCCTACCTTGTCCCCAGACTGGAAAGACAGAGACAATGTCTCAGCACCCCTGGGGCCTCAGGGTCTAGTGTAGTGCCTGGCTCAGAGAAGGTATGAAATAAATAATTGTTGAGTGAGTGAATGAATGAATAAACAACATGAAGGCAGGTAGGAAGTATTTCCACCAGAAAGGCCTTCTGATACTGTGGAGGTTTTCAATCCATGTTTGGGCAAAAGATCCTCAGGCTCTGTGACTCCAGACTTCTTCTGAAACTGACTCAGGCACTGGAGAGTAGGAACGTGACGCCAGGAGGATGCTCGCTAGTGGGAGATCTGGTGCAGCCATCAAGGGGGGCACCGGACTCAAGACCCAGACACCAGCGAGTCAAGCAATCTGTGTAAGTCCACATAAGCACTTCGGTGGAGAAGGCAAAATTCAAACCTCGACTTGTGAGTCTCCAGTGCCCTTGCTGGTTCCTTCAGTTATTAATAGCACTTACTGTGACGTCATGAAATGGTGTGTTTCTGTATCTGCCTGCCTGCTCAGCCATGCGCTCTTCAAGGACAAAGACCGAAGCCCATTCATCAATTTGGTCCCAGGATATGGCACACGGCCTGGCCCCAGACCTGGCTGATAAATATTTGTTCACTAAATGGTAGCTAAGGGCTGGCTTCCCGTGCTCACGCCTTTCCTCTTGTGCAAGGGAACTTGCCCTCTCACACACTGTGCTTGAGACTGCAAATCAAACCACGTCCCCAGAGGGCCACTTGGCAGTACCTTCTACATTTCACAATGCACATGCCCTTTGACCCGGTAATTCCTCTTCTAGGAAAGTTACCTTACAGAAATAACCATACAAGGATACAAAAACATATGGACAAGGATGTCTATAATAGCAATAAGCTGGAATCAGAACGCCCATCCTCAGGAGGCTGGTTACATATACCATGGGTCGGCCAGATAATGGAGAGAAGCACATGGTGGCCGTTTACGTGCTGGTACGAAAGGTGTGCAGGATGTGGCAGTTAAAAAAGGGCAGGGAAGGACGGTGTGCCCAGTACGCTCCTGTCTGTGCTTAAAATGACGACACAGGTATTTCAAAGACTGAATACGTTTTTTTAAAAATTCTAGAGGGATACAGACCTGATTGTTAAACATACTCGATAAGGGAGAGAACTGCAGAGCCTGCAAAGAAGTGGCCTGAGCTGTTGGTGGTAGGAAGGGGACAGGAAGCCTCGTTGGAATTTTTGTGACCAGGTTCAAAAACTAATTGAACGGGTAGATGAACAAGCCCTCTTCCTCTTATGCACCCCGAGTACCTTTTCCGTGGGGATCAAGGCACAAAGCGTCACAGCTCCTGCGGTCACAGACCCTCATGGGCTGTGGGCTCCAAGAGGACAGTGATAAGAAGAGGTGCACGGTCCAGCACTGAGAGTTTGGCACGTACCCCATACTCGACAGGTGTGATCACACTTAACCCCCAGATCAGAAAACAGAGGCTCAGAAAGGTGAAGTGACTTGCTCAGGGTCACCCAGCTGCTAGATGGGAGAATGAACCCAGCTCTGCCAGATCTGAAGCTAGCAGGACATGAATCCTGCTGCCTCGGCTGCTCTGTTCTCTTCTCTGGAGATGTGGACAGCCAGACTCAAGAAGGCATCTGCAGCTTGGACGACCTAAGCTAGAGGCAGAGCCAGCCGGGGTGCAGGGATCCCCAAGGTCATCCCCTGGCCTGATAATGGCCTGCCCTGGGAAGCAGCGGTGGACTCCAAAATGACTGCCCGGCCCCAGGGAGGGCCCTGCTCAGGGGATAGTCCACCGGGAGGGTCCCTCTCCCACACCAAGCACTGGAGAGGCCCACCTCTTGCAAGCTGTGAAACTTCAGACAAGTCACTTCACCTCTCTGAGTCCATTTTCTCACCTGGAAAATGCGGGTAGAGCCTTCCTGCTTGCAAAGTGCTTGTGGTTTGTTTTTATATTTTTTAAAATAAACTTTATTGTGGAACAATAACAGACGCAAAGATAGCACAGAGAGTTCCCATCCGCCCTTCGCCCAGCTTCCCCTTATGTTAACATCTTACATAACCCTGGTATGTTTGTCAAAATGAAGAAATTAACATTGTCCGATACTGGTAACTATGCTACAGACTTATTAGAGCACTCATTTCTCCGCCAGTGCCTGTTTTCTGTTCCGGGACCAGACCTGGTATCCCATTTTACATTTCGTCATCGTGTCCTTAGTCTCGAATCTGTTACAGTTCCTCGGTCTTTTCGGTTTTCAAGAGACCTTGCCACTTTCTTTTTTTTTTTTTTTTTTTTTTGTTGTGGGGGGGCGGTACGGGGGCCTCTCACTGTTGTGGCCTCTCCCGTTGCGGACACAGGTTCCAGATGCGCAGGCTCAGAGGCCACAGCTCACGGGCCCAGCCAGTATGCGGGCCTCTCACTGTTGTGGCCTCTCCCGTTGCGGAGCACAGGCTCCGGACGCGCAGGCTCAGCGGCCATGGCTCACGGGCCCAGCCGCTCCGCGGCATGTGGGATCTTCCCGGACCGGGGCATGAACCTGTGTCCCCTGCGTCGGCAGGCGGACTCCCAACCACTGCGCCACCAGGGAAGCCCCTAGACCTTGCCACTTTCAAAGAGTCTTGGCCAGGTGTTCCGTAGAGGGTCCCCCAGGCTGGGGCTGTCTGCTGCTTTCCCATGATTAGACTGGGTTGTGGTCTTGGGGGAAGATCCCACCGAGGTGAGGTGCCCTTCCCATCAAATCCCATGGCAGGCAGCGGGCACGTGACATCTACGTCGACCTCTTCCTCACTGGTTGATGCTAACCTTTGTCACTCGGTGCCGGGGCAGGCTCTGGATGTCTCCACCATAGTTACTACACCCTTTCCATCCTCTCCTCATTAACAGTGAGTCACTAGCTCACACTCCAGGACAGGAGAGTTGAGCTGTACCTCTCAGAGGGGGATACATTCATAAATATTATTTGGAATTCCTCTATAAGGAAGGTTCATCCCTTCCCTCCCATTTATTTAGATCAGTATGGACTCCCGGACCTTTTTCTTAATTCTTTGGATAACAAGCCAATAATGCCATTATTTATTGTGCTACTCAGATTGCCCTGTGTTGGTCTTTGCTCTCTTTCGGGCTGGCTCCTGTGGCCTGCTGACACACCTCCACCCCTTGCTTTTCCTCCGGGCATTTTTTTGCTTTCTGGCACGAGGTGTCCCAGGCTTATTTTGTACACTTCCTGTCCCAGCCCTGCAATCAGTCATTTCTCCCAGGAGCCCTGGGGCCTTTTAGTAGGAGACTGGCATTCAGAAACCAAAATCTGAGTGAGAGGATTATTTTTTTAAATGGACAGAAACATCCTTATGTCAAAAACTCAAATAGAGGTGTCAAGAGAAAAGTCAGTCTCCCTCCAACCCATGAGCCCCCGTTTCCCCTCCCAAGGACAGCTACTCTTTTTTATTTTTTTAAATTTATTTATTTTTGGCTTCGTCGCTGACGTGGGCTTTCTCTAGTTGCGGCGAGCAGGGGCTGTTCTTCGTTGCGGTGCGCGGGCTTCTCACTGTGGTGGCTTCTCTTGTTGCAGAGCACGGGCTCTTGGCACGTGGGCTTCAGTAGTTGTGGCGCACGGGCTTAGTTGCTCCGCAGCATGTGGGATCTTCCCAGACCAGGGATCAAACCCGTGTCCCCTGCACTGGCAGGCGGATTCTTAACCACTGCGCCACCAGGGAAGTCCCTGGGGCAGCTACTCTTGATGATTGATTTCTGGTGTCTCCTTTCAGAAACAGGTGATGCTATACCTTACAGCGTTACAGTGAGGACAGAGAAGAGCTGAGGGACTAGAGGCAGGGCCCAGCAAGATGCCCATCATTTCTTCCCTCTTCCTGTCTCTCTGTCTTCCCTCCCTGGCCCAGCACTTCTGCAGAGGGCGGGCAGGCACAGGTACGGGGGCGGGTGGGGAGAGGGTCGGGAGCAACGGAGAGAAGGGGGCTACTCACTAATGGCCCCGGTGTACGTCGGCTGTGTGAGGTCCTTGGGCACCTTCCTGTAGATGTCAAACCTGTGGAGAACAAAGGGGACGGGGTGAGGTGGGCACAAAGGGCAGGTGTCAGGCAGCGGGGGAAATGGTGCTGGCTGGTGTGCCCAGCAGCCGCCATTCTTCCCCGAACCACTTCCTCCAAGAGGCCTGAAGGACGTCCTCTGCGCCCCATGGGATCCTGGCTCCCACACCTCCTCTGTCGCACTGCCTCACTACTTATCAGCCCCTGACATGATGGCCAGGACCCCTCAGCTGATGCTGGCTCTTGGTTGGTCTTGCCCCCAACAGAATGTAAGCTCCATGCGGGCAGGGACCTTGTTAAGTGTTGTGCCCTGCCGTGTCCCCAGACCTTTGCTTGGGCCTGGGGCACAAGAGGCCCCTAGTAAGCACTGGGGAATTAACTGAACCTGGGCGTTGGTTTTGTCTGACACTGAAGGGAATGGGCAAGTGCAGTCTTTCCTGAGTTCTCTGACGGCGCTGCATTCTTGCCTGGCGTCGCCTCTCCGCCCCCTCTTCCATTTCCTGTCTCTACCTCCTCTTGTTTCCACTACCCCCTTCCCCAGCTTCTGCAGTCTTCTTCTTGGAGATTCTCCTGAACTCCAAGGCAGTAGGTTAACAGAAAATCCTGCCTGGGGCTGACATCGGCTCGTGACAGCCCTGGCTCCAGCTCACGTGGGCTTCTGCCCAGACACAGAGCAGACGCCTTTTTTTCATATGGATCCCACCAGAGCAGACAGGGGTGGTGGTGGAAGAACTGAGGGCTTTGGAGTGAGGCAGACGCCAGTGTAATTCTGGCCAGTTGTTTTAAGGGGTAAGGCCCTATAATCAGACTGCCCTGGGTTCAAATCTTGGCTGGTCTTCCTCCTTGCTGTGTGATGTCAGGCAAACGACATCACCTCTCTGAGCCTCAGTTTCCTTTTCTGTACTACTGCGAGACCCCGCCAGGCCCCTGAGTAAGGGAAAGAAACGTCAGCGGGGGAGCTGACACAGAGCGTTCCCAGGCACTTGGCTTCCTCCTCTCCACTCGATGAGCAAGCAGCTCTAAGTCCACAGCCCTTTCCCAGCCCTCTGGTGAAGAGGCTGGCAGCTCCGCCCTCCAGGGGTGATGGGCTGGCGGATGGTTCCTCTTGGGTGATTGGGAAACAAGGTTAGTGCCGTGCTAACCCCAATGCAATGACATGGAAATCTTGCATAAGATCTGATACTTGACTCCTGTTGCGTTCACTCTTAATTACACGTGAAAGGTGCTTGGTTCCTCAAGGCCTCAGAGGAGAAAACATTCCTATAGGCTGCAGAGCTAAAAGGTATCACTTTCTCTCCCACCTGCTCAGCCACCAGTCTCCTGTGCTTAGGCCCTGAAGGGCACTAAAAACTGGGGCTGGGAGTGTGGTCAGGAGGGGTGGGGGCCTCATGTGACTCAACTATCCATACCTACTCACCTCCCTTATTCTGAAAATGCTGCCCACTTTACCTGTGGGAGGCATATTAGAGGAGAGAGTATGTACTGGGGAGTTAGCCTGCCTGGGCTTAAATGTGACCCCACCACTGTGTGACCTTGGAAGCACCACTGAACCTCTCTGTGCCTCAGTTCCCCTGTCTGCAAAATGGGGGCAACAACAGTAACTATCTCACTGCATAGGGATTAGAACCAAATGACTTAGTGCATATAAAGCACTTAGAACCATGCCTGGCACCCAAAAGTACTATATCAGTATGTGCTGTTCCTATGATTAATGTTTATTCGGCTGACATTCATGAGCACCCACTATGTGCTAGCCCTCTTTTAGGTACTAGAGACATGGAGGTAAAATCAGCCCTCAGCTCTGTGTACCTGTAGTTTAGCAGCAAAGACAAAGAGGGGACCAAAAAGGAGGACGCGGTGGTGCCCCACCATGGGGTTTGCTGGAGTGCCAGGTGAACCTGGAAAGGGCACCTGGGGTCATTTGAAGCTTCCAGAAAGAGCTGATGTCTGAGCAGGAGGATGGGAGAAAGGGTAGGTGCAGGCAGAGACTGGTCCAGGTAGTAAGAACAGCAAAAGCAGAGACAAAGAAGAGGACGGAGCCTGACGTGCTGGAAGGCTAAGTTTACCTGCCTGTGGTGCTAGGACGGGAATGGAGGGAGTGGATGCTGGAGAGGCGAGAGGGGCTTACAAGCCAGCTTCCTGGTCCACTTAATACCCGGTTACTACCCTGGGCCCACAGCCAGAAACTGGGCCTCATGGTTTAATAAATATATGAGCCACCATTTCAAAACTGGGCGTTTTATGGGAAGTCAAAGGCTGTCCAGGGTAAGGAGCGGGGAGTGGCCTAGAGCAGAGTGTCCGAACCTGACAAGGGTGAGAGAGGGAGGGAGAGATGGGAGATGGTTGCATACAGGGGGGGCTGATCAAATATATAAATACAGTGAGGATAATGGGGGCAGGGTGCCTCACTGTTAGGGAAGGGAGGTATACATAGAGCAGTAGAATAAACCCCATGGTGTTAGAGTGGAAATGAAGGTATTGCTGTGAATTCATGGTTTTCAGCATACACAAACAGAGAAATATCCATGTGTGTAGACACCTCACGTACACATTTACTTCCCAGAGAGGGTGCAGGAACAGGGACAGCCAGACAGCAGTGAGCACATCTGGACCTCAAACCTTGGCTTCTAAATATCATTCTTTACTCAAAGGAATCAGCTCCTTGGAGAAATGGCTGATTCCAGGGCTGGGTAGGGAAGATGCAAGATGAACCTGGAGTATCTCCTTATGTCAATAAGCAAGAAAGAATGATGGGACATATCAAAAGGACAAGAAGCCAGCTTAAAGGGGCTCCCACTGGCCAAAGAAGGGGCAACGTAAGCATTAAAATCAACAATCACAGTAATAGATTATGACCCGTTAGATGAAATAGGAAGCCAAAAATCTACATAGATGAAAATAAAGAAATAAGTAAATCAAGTCTGATGAGGAATGGGACACTTCCCTACCTTCTAAGTAGCCCCCCCCCAAATCTTTATTAATCACAAAGGGAAAAAGGTAACTTTACAGAGGAGAAAGTTGACAGACATCACCGCAATCGAGGGACCAAAGGGAGTGTCACCAGTAAGGAGACACATCATGTGCCTCCTGATATGAAGTGCTGGGGAGGGTACCCCATCACTCCTGTGGGGAACCTGCTCAAGTGTACAACCTCAGATGAATGATGAGAAAACATCAAACAAATCCAAACTGAGTGTCATGCTACAAAATGACTGGCCAGCATTTGTCAGAAGTACCAAGGACACGAAGGCCAAGTAAAGACTAAGGAACTGTCAGAGGTTGGAGGAGGCTAAAGAAATGTGGCCACTAAACCCCGCAGGCTGTCCTGGATCGGAGAAAGGACATCAGTGGGACCACTGATGGGATGTGAATAAGGTCTGTAGATTAGTCAATAGTACTGTAGAATGTTCTTTTCCTGGTTTTGAAAATGGTTTGGTTATATAAGATGTTATATAATGTTATATAACATTTAAGGAAGCCTGGGTAAAGGGCATACGGGAAGCCTCTGTATTATTTTCGCAATTTTTTGGCAAGTCTTCAATTATTTCAAAATGAAAAGTTAACATCTTTTGTTAATTTAATGAAACATGTTTTAAAGCTTAAGCGGGGGGATTTCATGCAAAAATCCCACCCAGCTTGCTTTCTTTGTGTATGTTTGGTCCCTGTAGGCATCAGAATTTGAGATGCTGGCTTAACTAATATTGGCCAGGTGTGCTGGGTGTCAGGCAGAGCATGTCTTTGTCAGCAGAGGGAGGGGAGATGAAGGCCGAGCGAACAAAGGTCTAAGAGAGGAGGCGAGACTTGGACAAAACTACAGGAGGCAATGGCAATCAAAGAAGGTAGGTGCCCCGGAACGAGTGAATGACGCAAACCAAAATCACTGCCATCCCAGGTGGGCTGTGTTCCCACGTATATTTGTATTTAAGTCTCATCTCACTGTAACTCTGGCAGATACTGATAACCCATTTTTCCAGGCAGAAAAACTAAGGCTCAGCCATAAGCAACTTGCTCAAAGTCAGCAAGTCAATTTAGCAGAGCTGGGATTCATACCCAAGTCTGGGTCCATAGGCCATTGTCCTTCCACTGCCCTGTACTTATGGGAATCAGTTTAGAGCTCATTTATTGGTAAACTGAAGTCTCAAGGTTTTGCTTATTTGCTTTTCTGAAGATGCTGCCCCAGAGCAGATGGGGCTCTCTTGGAAAACAGGGGCCAGCGCAAAACACATTAATTCATTCAACAGGCATTTACTAAGTACCTACCAGCAGTGCTCTAGACGGTGGGAAAATGAAAGTGGTCAAGGTAGACATGGCCCCTGCCCTCATGAAACTGTCGGTCTAGCAATGCTGTTGGCTCCTTGAGAAGGGCCACCTAAACAGAATGTTCTCTGATAATGATTCCATTCCCATGCCGCAAATCCAAGCTGGGGAGTGGTGGTAGGCTAAAGGGATAGCTGAAAAGGACCCTGGGTTCAGAGCTGACCACAAGCCAAGTGAGTCAGCAGTGAATGTCACTAAGAAAATGGGCCACCGGGAGGCTGGTGAGAACCCAGGCATGTGACAGATCAGGAAGTCAGCCATCGTCTCTGGCTCACATTAGTCAGTCCCTCACTGCGGTGATGTGGTGATGCGATTAGATGTGGCCACCCACTGTTAAGAGAATGTAGAGGAAAGGGTAAGGAGAAAGGGGGAGAGGGGAAGGGATGCTTAGTGTACATCTAGTGTGTGCTGGACTCATGCTAGGCCCTGGACCGACATGTTCTCATCTAATTCTCTCAGCCAACTTGTGAGTTGGGGATTGTTAGCCCATTTTACAGATGAGGCTCAGAGGCTGCTGACTTGGCTAAGCTCCCACACCTATGAAGTGTCACAGCAGGGATCTGAATCCAGGCCTAATTTACATTCTTGCTGCTTTTCCCAACGATGTGGGGACAAACCAGGATGATTTGGGTGGAAAATACTTCTTAGGAAGAAAGATTAAAGAATTGGAATTGCTTGGCCT